TTATGAAAAAGTTAAAGAATTATTTTTACTAATATTAATAATTAAATGAAAGGATCTTAGAGTTTCATTCCGAACTCTCCCTCCCCTCAAAAAATGTATCTCTTCTGTTTGATTATGTCAAAAATGGAGCACTATGAAAACAGCATAGACTCGGAAGTCACACAAACCTAGATTTGAATCTTGGCTCTGGGTGAACCTTGTGCAAATGATTTAGCTACCCCCTAAGTCTCAGATTCCTCATCTATAAAATTGAGCAATGTTAGTGTGCCACCTCAAGGTGAAAAGGATAATTAAACAATCTCCCAAGAGTATCCACAGATAACATTCATTATTTTGATAAATTTATTATAGATGGGGTCTCTCGGCCGGACAGAATTAAAAAAAAAACTTCATCGTCACATAAAAAGGGAAGCTATGTCTCTGATAGAGGCACACTAACCAAACTAGAAGATCGATAAGGCAGATAGATAAATCAGAATGCAACATGTTAATTTGCCACGAGAAATTATTTGGAGTATTCAAGTAGTTGCATTTTCTCCCTGTGTGCAACTATATTTGGGAAGTAAAATCATAGCTAGAAGATTGCTCGTGATCAGGCAGGGGACTTGAGCTGCCTCTGGCATGTAGCAATTAACCAGCCATTGGGAAACCCTCAAAAGAAGTGGTCACTGACAAGGTTTGTCTCTGTCTCCTAGGATAAGTTTGTACATCTTGGCTTTGTTCCATTACATATTTATGTTTTGGAGGGCATCTTATTTTCCCTGCTTACAATGTCTTGGGGAAAGTCTCACCCAAGCCCCTGAAATATTAACATTAAAAAGAATGACACCTTCCTCATCAGTGCAGCCAGCACATCAGTGGCAAAGGTCTCTCTGGGCTTCCAGATCTGGGTCAGATGGCCTAACTCCCCAAATCCATAGCTGTGGACTTGTCCTAAGCCCATCTAAGATTTCAGCAAGTCCTGTGTTCTCATGGTCTCCTCTTCCGCCTGTTTCCTCATGATCACTGCTCAGCACATGTCTGTCCAGGCATGAATCACAGCCCCTTCACTGATTTCCACCAAAAAAAAAAAATTCACTCACACAAACCATTCATGATCAGACTTTTCTAAAGTACTGAGGAGGCAGGGAGCGGTTTCAGGAAGAATCCGTCTGCACAGGGACGCAGTGAGCTGTTTAAAATCCATATTAAATATTCTTATCCTTCTGAAGTCCCTCTGACCACCCTGACACCAGGCGCTACAGTCATGACCCTTCCCACCAATAGCCTCACTCCTTCCCACACCTCCTCCCTCTGTCCCTCTCTTCTTCCTCCCCTACTTTCTCTCTCATTCTTCCTGTTTAGAACTGCAGACAAGTTCTTCTCTTTGACTCAGAACAGAGATTCTTCCCCATTTCTGAAGCCTCCTCCACAGCTGAAATCCAGGCCTGGGGAATTTACCTTTTAACTGATCAAAGATATTTTCCAAACAGGCTGTTCCTTTCTAAATTGCATTTGGGGGCCATCTGTAAAGAAGATAAAAACATTTCCTACTTGATTGCAAAGTGCCTGGGATATACATATGATAAACAAACTTTCATCCACTCCTCTCGTTCCTCTCCATTTACGCAATACATTCTTGATCAATGGTAATTGCAAAATGACTAAGGTGTTTCTGCTCCTCTCCACATTCCTATGTTGGTCGAGAGGACACCCTCAAATAAAATTCCCCATAGCTATAAGCTTTCAAAGACTGGTACCAATTACTGGCTCCCCAGCTTACTAGCTATGTGATCTCGTGCAGATTACTTAACCTCGCTGGCCTCAGTTTCTCCACCCATAAAATGAGACAATAGACTAGCTCATAGACGTCCCAAGAGGATTAAATTAATTTTCTCCTGTAAAGTGCTTAGTACATAGTAAGGGCTCAGTGGATGTTAGCTGCTCCTTTATTTTTTTAAGTTTCTTTCTCCTCTGATAGTGTGACTTTATCAATGTGAAAGATGAGAGAACTTATTCATTACTCTTGAATAAAGCCAGACTTGAGACTAAAGTGGCAAGGTCAGGGGTCCAACTTAGCACAAGGGCTATACCCTGCTGGTACCCTAGGCCAGAGGGGATGGCCAGGCATTAACTCATTTCGGATCTGCATTTAGAGATGGAAGGAGTAATGGGGACATGATGAAAATATAATACAAACCACAGTTGTGTAAACTGGGAAACACCAACTTCCCTGGGTCTAGTTCATTTTTGCGTCAGAGGATTTAGACTCCATGACTAGAGTCTCCCAAGGCTGGCTGGCTGACTGGCATCGTAATGACCCACTCTCACCAGACCTGTCCTATATCTTGTGTGAATCCCTCAAAGGCCCATCGATTTTCCCTGGTTTCACAAGAGGATGGGAATAACAGATACCACGGACTCTCTAATGTCTGCAGTGCAAAGAATAGACAAGACTCCTTAATTTAATGGCCAAAGGGGACTGTCTGGTTCAGGTTGTTGCTTTTATGGCAGTATCTGACTGCCGAATACCATCTTCCCCCGCAACCTGTCCATCATCCCCTGCAGCCTCTGACGCTCACAGGAACAGGCTGATTGGACTGCTTTGCTGCAGCCTCTGGAAAAACAGGGTTAGGAATGGAGTGGGAGAGCCAGGCATGTGTCGGGTGAAACCAGTACCTCCCCAGGTGAGTCTAGGTGAGCCTAGGTGAGGGGCAGGAAGAGGGACATGAGGAAGCTTTTCAGGGGACTTCCAGGCTAGCTCCACAGGGCACATCTTGAAGCAGGAGACCGAGTGGGTCTTTCTCTTCACAGAAAGCAGAGTTGTTTGGGCCTGACAGAGAGGGGTAGAGAAAATTATAGCTCACCTATAAACTACTTAGAAGACACATACCTACAGAAAATCATTTAGAGTTTGGTCCCTACACCCGCAAGTACATTATCCATTTGGCTTTATAAACTCTCCCTGCAGACTTGAGTTTCCCTTGTGTGAGTTTGGGTTCCTGCTCATCCAAGCTGTCATGGCTATGTCGGGATTGAGCAGACAAAGAGAGAAGTTGTGTGTTTTGACTCTCCATCCCTGGGCATGACCATTTTTGCCCCTGCACCAGCCATCACTTTGGTCCTGTTTGCAGAAGTGTGTGCTTAGAGGAAGAAGCAAGGCAGCCTAGGAAGCAGAGGTCTCAGCCCAGTCCAGAGCAGTGAGCCCATAATCTGAGAGCAATCTCGAAGAAGTAGAAAAGGTCCTGAGGATTTATTCAGGAGATGACCCTGGTGACTCTGTTCTTTGTGGTGGGATCTCTACCCCTTGCCAGAAAGTCCAGTTTTATTGTATGGAGGGACACCTAGGACTGGCAAGACCTCCCCGTCTCTCCCTTGGCCCTGGGGTTTAAAACTGAAGCCCACACTGGGTCCCATGATGGCCTATGTTCTCTAACTGTGGTAAGAACAGTTAACAAATTAACAAATTTGTGAGTGTGCAATACATTATCATTGGCTATGGGTGCATTGTTGTATAGCAGATCTCTGGAGGTTACCATTTAGCCTAACTGAAACTTTATGCCTGTTGATTAGTAATTCCTTATTTTTTCCTCCCCATGGCAACCACCCGTCCACTCAGATTCTATGAATTTGACTATTTTAAACACCTCATATAATGAGATCATGCAGTATTTGTCTTTTGATGACTAGCTATTTCACTTAGCATAATGTCCTCAAGGTTCATCCATGTTGTCACAAATTACAGAATTTCCTCATTTTTAAAAGCTGGATAGTATTCAATTGTGTGTATACACCATATTTTCTTCATTCATTCAACTGTCAATGGGCATTTAAGTTGTTTCCACATCTTGGCTATTGTGACTAATGCTGCAAAGAACATAAGAGTACTAATCTCTCTTCAAGATCCTGAAAACAAGCAAGTGGACTACATCAAACTAAAAAGCTTCTGGACGCCATATATCTGATAAGGGGTTAATCTCCAAAGTATATCAGGAACTCCTACAATTCAACTATAAAAGAAAAACAAAACTAACAGTGAAAAGGCAACCTACAGAATGGGAGAAAATATTGTACGCCATGTATCGGATAAGGGGTTAATCTCCAACGTATATAAGGAACTCCTACAATTCAACTATAAAACAAAAACAAAACTAATAGCCCAGTTGAAAATGGTCTAAGGACTTGAATAGACATTTCTCCAAAAAAGACATAAAAATGGCCAACAAGCATATGAGAAGATACTCAACATCATTAATCATCAGGGAAATGCAAATCAAAATGCAGTGAGATATAACCTTAGACCTGTCAGGATGGCTATTATCAAAAAAAGAAGGAAGGAAAGAAGGAAATAAGGAAGGAAGGAAGGAAGGAAGGAAGAGAGGAATCCTTGTGCACCTCTTGGTGGGAATGCAAAAAATGGTGCAGCTTTTATGGATAACAGTACAGAGGTTCTTCAAAAATTTAAAAGAATTACCGTATAATCCAGCATCCCACTGCTGAGTATTTATCTGAAAGAACTGAGATCAAGATCTCAAAGATATATTAATAAGCACTCGTGAGCTTTTATTTCTCTGTGTCTGTGCTACCCAGCATATGGGTCCCTTTGCTTTTAAACCCAACATATAAAACCTCACAGCCCAGGCAGAATCTTAGGTACCTCACCCCTCGCCCAAATCTGCGTTCCAGGGACATCAGAATTTTGATCCCTTTCTGGGGAGGCGGGAGTGGGGTGGGGGTGGGGTGTCTCAGCCTGTGCAGTAACAAACTCTAGGGGAAGAGGCCCCGCGATCTGCAGGAGGTCCGGGCACGCCTGGCTGTGGGGAAATCCACGCCTCGTCAGGCGGACGCGCTTGCCGGAGCAGCGTGACGCGGCAGCCAGAGGGTGGGACGCAGGGGGCCAAGACTCGGGCGCTCCCTGGGCAGACGCCAGCTCCAGCTCCGCTGGGCTGGCGGGGGGCGGGGTTTGGCTGGGGAGGAGTGGCCCCGGCCTGGGAAGTCACTTGGCAGCTCGACTGGCTGCGGTCACACGCGCCCTGAGCCCGGCTCCACTAGTCCCTTTCCTGCGCTCACCTGGACGCACCGCTCACACTCCGCTCTGAGGCTGAGTCCCGGCCCTCTGGAGCAGCGGTCAGCAAGCGAGCCCCTCCATCTCCCATCAGAGAGACCACATGGGCCCCGAGACCATCTACCCCTGCAGGGGCCCCCTGTCTCGCCTTCAGGTGAGGACCTGGATTGAGCCCGTGGTGGCCTCCACCCAGGTGGCCGGCTCCCTTTACGATGCGGGTCTTCTCTTGGTGGTGAAGGCGTCCTTCGGGGCTGGAGCCTCTTCAAACCACAGCGCCAGCCCGTCGCCCCGGGGGACTCAGGAGGACCAACAACAGAAGGCCATCTCTAACTTCTACATCATCTACAGCCTCGTGACGGGCCTGACGCCCCTGCTGTCTGCCTATGGGCTGGGCTGGCTCAGCGACCGCTACCACCGCAAGATCTCCATCTGCGTGGCACTGCTGGGCATCCTGCTTTGCCGACTAGGGCTGCTGTTCAAGGTCCTGTGGGACTGGCCAGTGGAGGTGCTGTACGGGGCGGCAGCGCTGAGCGGGCTGTGCGGCGGCTTCTCAGCGTACTGGTCAGGGGTTATAGCCCTGGGATCCCTTGGCTCCTCCGAGGGTCACCGCTCCTTACGCCTCATCTTTATTGACCTGATTATGGGCTTGGCAGGATTCTGTGGGAGCATGGTCTCCGGGCATCTCTTCCAGCCCGTGTCTGGGCAGTCTGGGAAGGGCCTGGTGCTGACAGCTTGCAGTGTCAGCTGTGCGGCTTTTGCCCTTCTGTACAGCCTCTTGGTCCTGAAGGTCCCTGAGTCAGTGGCCAAGCCCAGCAAGGCACTCCCCGAGGTGGATACTGTGTCTGGCACAGTTGGCACATACCGCACCTTGGATCCTGATCAGCCAGACAAGCAGAGTGTGGTGGGGCACCCTCGATCTCTGGGGAAAGGAAAGCCCCAAAAAAGCATTATTGCCCTGCTCTTCGTGGGTGCCGTCATCTACGACCTGGCAGTGGTGGGCACAGTGGACGTGATGCCCCTTTTTGTGCTCAGGGAGCCTCTCAGTTGGAACCAAGTGCAGGTGGGCTATGGTATGGCTGCAGGGTACATCATCTTCATCACCAGCTTCCTGGGCGTCCTAGTGTTCTCCCGCTGCTTCCAGGACACCACCATGATCATGATTGGGATGGTCTCCTTTGGGACGGGAGCCCTCCTCTTGGCGTTTGTGAAAGAGACATACATGTTCTACATTGGTGAGTCTGGCATTCGTGGGGAGGTAGGATGAGGACACTGCCGGCCCCCTGAGTCATGGGGCTGACACCAGGAATTCTGTGGTCTAGGGTCCCAGCTCGGCACCAGGGATTATACCTGCTACCTAAGAGGTTCCAGGGAGTTGAGAGTTTATCTGTGTTGCACAGTGCATTGCGTTCTCTGTGTCACCTGCTGAAAAGTTACCAGAGTGATATTCCTTGGCTCTAGGAGGTCAAGGGAGGGGTGGTCGGTGGTGCCTGGAGGCCGTAGAAGAGGCTTCAGGGTGGGGTTGGGTTTCTTCTCCCCAGTTTTAAAGTGATAAAACATTAAGCAATCCAACTGAAAAAGTCCCTTCATCAAAATCATTTCAGGCCAACCAAGGGCTTTTTAGAAATGAATAAAAATTCTCCATAAATGCCTTCCACAACCAATGTAACAAATTCCCTCAAGGAAGCAGAATGAAGTTTCCACGTGAGGACACGGCTCAGGCCACCGCAAGCAGAGAGCTGTACACCAATGCTGATAGAACTTCCTACGGTGATAGAAGTATCCCGTGTCTGTTTCATCCAATACAGTAGCCACTGGCCACGTGTGGCTATTAGAGCACTTGAAATGCGGCTAGTACAGCTAAAGAACAGAATTTTAAATTTTATTTCATATTAGTTAATTTAAATAGCCACATATGGCCAGTGGCTAACATATTAGAAAGAACAACTAGAGGGTTACCAGAGACTGTCCTTTGGCTGAGGTCACACACTTCAGGAAAACACCCAACAAGATGGCAAGATTACCTTTGGCCAGCTCCCAATTAAAAAGGCCATGTGCAAAGGCCAGAGTCTTCCTCTCCCCTTCCCTTCTCACCACCTCTAAATCCCCATCTCTCTTTTACACACACACACACACACACACACACACACACACACACACACACACACTTGTTCACACACCACATCGAGATAATAGATGGAGCTTGAGGGAAGGAGAGGCATGTGGCAGCTGTGTAAGTGGCACACATTCCTAGATGCGGTTTGCCAAATGGGACTGTCTCTCAGGGGTGTTCATCAATGGCGAGGGCAGACACCTTTCTCCCGGGAGGCAAAGAAAGGAGTCTCAAGTCACTTCAGTGACATCAGCTCTGCTTCCCTAGAAACCACCTAACTTAGCCAATGAAGACACCTTTCACCATCTGCCACCATGTCAGCTGTGCCCTGCCATCTTGCAGAATAGTCTGCAGCATCTATAGCCCTGTCAGAGCTCAGGGAGTCAACCTGCCCTAGGGAGGGCACAAGTCTGCCAGCAGAGAAACTTTTCTTCCAGGACAAGCTATGTGAGAGTTATGGGGAAAGGGGATTCTAAGTGAGGCTTTTGTTTTATTCTAATTTACTCCTTGGCCAAGGCTGAGCTACAGTAAGGAATGTTCTTGTGTGATTTCTTTTCAGCTCGAGCCGTCATGCTGTTCGCCCTCATCCCTGTCACAACCATCCGGTCAGCAATGTCCAAACTCATAAAGGACTCTTCTTATGGTGATTAAAAAGAATCTCTCTGAGGTTCCCTATCTGGGCTGTTTCAGAGCTGCTGGGCTTGAGACACAGGGGTTGGACTTGCAGAAGGCATGTGAGAGAGTTCCAGAAGCAATCTCAAATACTCTAAGAACATACTGATATCCATCAGGGAAGAAGAAGTGAAAATGGGAGGGTGGAAAAGACCCAGGCAGTTACCGAAAAGCCACAGTCAAAGGAAGACACTGCCATTCATAGGCCACAGGTAGATCCAACTGGATGGAGGCAGGAATCCTGGTAAAATGAGCCATGAAGACAGAGTCCTAGGAAGGGCGAGGGGGTCTCTTGAGAGCTCCCCAGAGACTCGGCTAGCTGGGAACATGGAAGGGACGGCAGCACATCTTGATAATTTCTGTTTCTTCCCCAGGAAAGGTGTTTGTCATCCTGCAGCTGTCCCTGACACTGACCTTCGTGGTGACATCTGCGATGTATAACGAGATCTATCAGCTCACCATGGAAAAGTTCGTCGGCACCTGCTTTGCTCTCTCCTCCTTCCTCTCCTTCCTGGCCATCGTCCCGATTGGGTAAGGTGGGAGCAGTGTCTGTGCTGTGGCCCTGGAGCTTAGGTCAAGAATTGTTGGGCCATCTCTAGCCCATTATCATAAAACATTATTTAATTTTCAGTAGGTTTTCCCACAAAGAAAAAATTCTGCTATTCCCCCAAATTAATTTTTGGGAATTCTCCAAACTCATAAGTAATGAACAGAGGCCTCCAACCAGCTGGCTCACTTCCTGGCAGTTTTGCAATACAGTTTATTTATAGGAGCCTCATACACTTCCTTGTAATCAGAGGCTGAGATTAGAAACCCTCTTGAACCTCTCAGACCTCTGTGGTTTAGCTCCCTTTAGGTGACAGGTATCCCGCCTCACTTCCGAGTACTTACTCTTCTCTGTGCCCTCTGAGGGCTTGGCACCTGGCAGCCTCTGTGCTCAGTGCCCCTGATAGCTCGTGGCCACTGGACTGTGTGAGTTTCCTGTAGGACTTGGGCAATTCCTTTATTGTCTTTTGGAAGAATTGTCTCATTTGTGAAAGAAAAGCACTGACGTATAGGAGATGACAGTCAGGAGAAAAGCTGGAACATCCAGGGAGAGGCGTATTCCAAGGCCATGGCCAGAGCACCAGGCTAGGTCATCACCAAACTGGACCACGTGGATTAGTCTCGCCTTCGACCAGCCCTGTCCCATGAAAATACAGTTCGAAAATACAAATGCAAGCCATCTATGGGATTTTGAATTTTTTAGTTGTCGCATTTAAAAATGATAAAACGGGCGAAATTAATTTTAATAACATGTGATTTAACCCACTCTATCCAAAACTATCATTTTAACATGTAATCAATTTACAAAATTAATGAGCTTTTATTTTTCTTTACTGAGTCTTTGAAATCTGATATGGATGTTATGCTGATAGCACATCTCAATTTGGACGAGTCACATTTCAAGCGTGTCTAGTGGCTACATATAAGGCAGCATAGCTTGGACTGTTAGGCCCTTTTACCCCTTCTGCTAAAGTGAGGTTCTCTCGTGCTTGTATCAATCCCACGAGAAGAAAAAGGAATACGATAAATTTATCCTCAATAAGGCACAAGGGATTTTATATAGAGTTGCATTTTAAAGGGACCTGTCTCGGAGCACGTGAGAGCTGGACATATCAGTAATGGTAGCATGATAGGCAGTAGAGTAGAAAATAAGTGAAGGCAGGAGGAAGAAGTGGGAAGTGGATGGTGGCAAGGCTCTTTTTTGAATTCTCACATCTCATCACAATATAGGTCCCTGCCTGCATACAAAGACAGGAGCTGTCAATCATGAAGGCTTTTTACTCTATTCCACAGTAGAGAATAATAAGATATGAAGATCAAACAACTGATAGAATTTGTGCAAACAGCAGGCATGATTACTAGTGTCCTCTTGGCCCAGTTCTCATTTTCTCCAGGTATAGGACTGAGCTAGACCTGTCCTCAAACTGCCCAGCCCTGAGGCCTTTTCATGTGCTCCTGTTTTCATGAATCTTGGCTGAATGGGTTGGGCTTAACTAGACCTAGCATGCAATGTGAACTTCTCAGGAGCCCCAGCTCTTTGTCCAAGTGAGTAATGGATTAGTAGCTGTGCCACTTGAAAGTTATCCAGTCCTATTGGATTGGCAGTTGGTTGAAATATTCTCTTTAACCTAAACAAATAAACAAAACCCATGAAACAACAAAAGAAAAGAAGTCTGACTAGTTAATGTGTGTCATAGCTAAAGAGAGAGACAGACGAATGAAAGCAACGAGAAAATATCATTGGTTCCTTTTCAGTTTCGTTGATTCACATGTGTGCTAAAAAGGATGCTTTGCCTTTCTTAAGAGATTTTAGGGCATGTGAAGTAGGTGTGCTGCCCTTGACATCTCACCTCCATGCACTTGTAACATGTATTTGTACATAGTCACACATCCCGTGCACGGGATCTTGATTAAGCCATGCATGGTGGTCATGATCTTATATCATAGAAGCAGGAACAGAATCTTGAACCAATCAAGTAAGTAACTGAGTGCTTATGTGAATGAGACGCTTCAGTACTTGCTAATTGTTTCTCTCTTTTGTAGACATTTAGCAGTAGAGATATCCATGTGCAAACATAGACTTCTTCTCTCACTGTACACTGGAATCACCTGGACAGATTTAAAAATTACTGATGTCTGGATACCATCCCTAGAGATTCTGATTCAGTTGATCTGGGGTGCAGCCTGGGCACAGGAATTTTTAAAAACCTTTCCAGGTTATTTGAATGTACAACCAGGACTGAGGACCTCTGGCATAAAGGGCAGTGTTTCCATGACCTTTCCCTTCCACGAAATCACTAAGTGAGATCTTGAAACTCTTACAGCTAGAAGAGGCCAAGGCTGGACCATTAATTATTAAGTAAGATCAACAGGAAAGACCAGTAGAACCTCCTAACCAAAGAAGAGCTACATTCCAACGACATAAAAACCCAGGAAGGCATGTCAGAGCAGGGGAGAGAGGAGGCGGTTGAGGGCAGAAGGCTGGCAGGAGAGGTCAGCTGCCACAGCTGCCAACAGCCTCTTTGCAAGAAGGGACTTTGGCCCTGGCTCTTCCTGGTACCAAAGTGAGCTGATTTCACATTTCTGCGAGAACCTGCCCTCTCCTGCTTGCTCTTCTTTATATGCTATAGGGAGATGCTGAGGAAATAAATATCTGTTTCTGCCCCGCCCGCGGCCCACTTGTCACCCAGCATGCATGTGCTCAGCTACTGCCTCGTGCTTTACAGAAAAAATAGAAGCCATCAGAGGAGAACGGCCTCATCTTCCGCAACGTAACAAACCTAAACCTAGGTTCTTTTGCACCCATTCTGTTCTTCTCCTTTCCCGCTCTTTTTAAAAATAATAATTGCAAACGTTTAAATAATTCTTAATATGTGCCAGGCACTACTATAAATATTTTATGTATTTTAACTAATTTAATTTTTTTCAAATAGTCCTCTGAGGTAATTGCTATTATTGTTCCCATTTTGCAGATGAGGAAACAAATTCTAAGGTATTATGCATCCTGCCAAAGGTTACACAGCTACGAAGTGGCAGACAGGATTTGAACCCAGGCAGTCTCTCTTATTCACTACATGACATTGCTTCTTAGAAAAGTCACTGGGTGTCTGGGTGCCACCTCTCCCACCTCCTTAGAGAGCTCACTGCACTAGTTAGTGGCTCTCTCTCCTGAATTCTTCCCACCAGGACTGACACATGATCTACCACCCTCTCTCTCTTCCTCCTCTTTATAGTGAAGTTCTCCAAAGGCTGGTGTGCACATTCTGTCTCATGTCCTCACCTCCCATTGACTTTTCAACACACTATAGTCTAATGTCCCCCACTCTCACTAAGATATCACTTCTTCGAAGCTGAATCCAGTGGACTCACTGCAATCCTCACCCCACATCGCTCCTCAGCTGCCT